CCATATCGCATGATTATCTAAATGCAATCAGAGGCTTCAGTGAAATAAATAAATAAAATAAAAACACATTTTTGCTTGTTGTTGTTCGGGATATCATAATCAAGAATAAAGAAACCATTTTCATAACAAAATTGTTGTGATGGGGTTAAATTGGATAACAATGTTTAAGAAAATGTGCCTTTTCTTTTCCAAAACATGTTTTCTGCATGTTTGTAGATCAAAGTGTTCTTTTGCAAAACAACAAAATGCAAAGCAAAAGAAAAAATACAAAACAAAAAAATGAAATTCAATTAAATTTTAAAATGCACAAATGTAATAAAAAAGAAATTAGAAATTAAATTTATTATTACAACCTTGTTTCATTGATTCATTTTTTTCTGTTTTTCTTGGACCACAGAATGCACAGCATTAAGTTTGTGTGCTAGCTAAAGTTGATTAAACTGTTCACTTGGGTCAGCTGGACCTGCAAAGTGGTTAAGTGTCCCAGACAGTGAAGTGGTATTACAGGTCTGTGAAATGCAACACAAGCAGCAGCTCAGTCTAAACCCGCCTTGTTTTCCAGTATCCCTAACCCTACTTGTTCCTTGCAGTATCCAGCAGCAGAACGATTAAACCGCATTAACTGTCACAGTAAAGTGCAATCTCGGCGATCTAAAACTGCCAAGGTCAACAGGAATACTTCAAATCAATCAATGAGGGTAGGCCACAATCTCTCCCAGAAGCAGATTAAGTGTATAATTGATGTGTGTAATCTGCCGTGTATCTGAGTCTCTCTGCTGGCACTCAGACACGCATGCATATGCACACGCACACACTGAAGAGCCTGGGCAGGACGGCGGTATCAGTGAAGCGCTGGATTTGGAGAAGGCTTTTTTTAATCAATGATCTATGCGCTCCACCCCAATCTGACAGATGAGCCCTCACGTTAAGCACAGCTGCCTTAATCCTGCTCTCCTCAGCTGTTCTTTCAAGAACTGGCAGGCTGGCGGAGTGAAATAAATTAATTTTCTCCCCCCTCCCTCCCTCTCCCTTCCTATCCCTCTCTCTGGTCCTCTTTCCTGAACTTAACAAACTTTATCCATCCACTGGCAAATGATTTGGCTCTTAGGCAGCTTGTATCTGGTATTTGGCCTTCTTAAAAATCTGAATCTTCTCAGAACTCATGAATATTACAGCGGACATTTGTCGCAACAAGCCGCTAAAATTCACTTTTGAAATATTTTTATCTTTTCAAATTAAGAAATGGTAAGAACTTTGTCTGAATATATTAATTAACATGAATGTTTTTTTAAAATATTTAATTAATAGTTTAATTAATTGATCTTTATTTACTACAAAATGTAAACCTCAGAAATGTCTTATTTCAAACAACAAATTAATAAACTTATCTTATTAGCAAAATTATCAATTTAAAATTCCAAATAATTACTAGTATTATTTGACACATCATCCTTTTCTAATTATCACTGGACTAAAATTTCATTCATTTTTCGTTGTTTTCATTTTTCATACCTAATCCCATATGGTCGCTTTTTCTGCATTATGAAACGCTGTTATGAAAGCCATATTTTGAATTAGTCAAACAGCAAGTATAATCTTCTTACTCCAGCCAACGTGCCATCTCTGTCTGTGAGAAATCAGCATCCTTGACCCCAATTAACCCAAGCTTAGCGTGGGCCACATATACTTCAATATGACAACCAGCCAAGAACAACTAAGCAATTATAGTACACCCACCAAACAGATCATTTCAAAGCGGATTACTTAAAACAATCAAAAAATGAAAAAGTGTAAAAGGGGAGGAGGCCATCAAGAATATTCTGACTACTGGAGTCAAAATAACAAGTGAAAGCAACATTTTGGCTGATTCAAAAACAAAAAGGGAAATTAAAAAACCACAATACAGCATGAATGATGACGAAAACAGCCCTTGTAGTGATTGTAACTCCATCCAAACTAAATTATGTGGCTCTTTCATTATTAATCATTAACATTTTAGTGAAATTTTGGAGAAACTCGACATTTTTTCAATCTCACTGGCAAGTCTGAATAAACCTGAAAAGATGAACAGACTAACATGTATTAACTTATAGTGACCCCTGCAGAATCTATTTCTTCATTCTTTTAATATTTTTATGTATATTTGTGTTGTAAATTTCCTGGCATCAAATGTGTTTTTCCAAATCAGCAAAAATGGATAGAGTAAAAATAAACACACGCAAGTGATAAGGGGGTGGGCTGCTGTTCTTTTAAACCCATTTAATTAGTGCCGTCGATACTATAATCTCCTCTATATGTCTTTTTTTTTATAACGAACTGAATGTCATTTTTAAATAGGGTGAGTGTAGCAGGTTTAAAACAACAGCATGTGGTGTTATGGCTCATTGTGGAGGATGTTATGACATCTTTAACAAGTGAAATGACAAAGTAACAAGAAAACATTTGAGCAGGTTGCCTGGAGCCCCCGATAAAGAGCGGTGCTATTTCAATGGCTGTTTAGCATAACAGTGAGGACCAGAGTGTGCGTGTTAGCGTGTGTGAGACGGAGTGAGCGCGCATGTGTGTATGCATGCACATATGTTGTCTTTTTCAACTAACTATGGAAGCCTGACCACTTGAGCGGGTGGAGAGGGGAGATGTGTGCCATGCATGCCCATCTGGGGTTGACGGAGGTGGGGCGCGAGGTTGGGGAGTGTGGGCTGGTTGGCTGGCTGTGTGAATGGATGTGTGTAAGTGCATGTAAGAGCTGAGTCTCTGAGGACATGGGCCATGCTAGTAGATGTACAAAGGAAGATTATTTGACACTGAATGACGCCACTTGGCATAATGTGACAAAAACAACTTGACAGGAAGGATAAGTTTCATTTCGGTTCAGGCTTAGAGAGAGAGAGCAAGAAAAGAGGTGGAAAAACAAGAAAGGAAAATGGAGAAATGGAATGAGAGGGTAGGAAAGACAAGGCAGATGGGATCTTTTCCTTGTTTGCATTCGAGGAAATGAACGCAAGTGCACAATGCAGATGGAAAAGAAGCGACACCATCTCATTCCAAGCGAATGAACAAAGAAACGAACACAGGATCTTTTCAGACACCCTCCAGGAGGGGAGAAAGAAATAAAGTAAAACCAGGACAAGCTAGCATACAGCAGCAGATTCAAGCAGCCTTTTTGTAGGACACTCGAAAAACCAGAGCTCATATGTTTCAAGCATCTCATAGTAAGACTACTGATCTGGTCAGTGAAAGTCAACGACGAACCATGATCAGGATTCTTACTTGAATTGTTCACATATGATACGAGGAGCCATATTCACAAAGCTTTTCAGAGCGAGAGTGCTGTTTTCAGATCAGTTTGTCCTGAGTTCGCAAGGAGCGACGTCAAGCAAATGGACAGGAAATTTGATCCCAGATCGGCGCTCCCGTTCTGGCTTTCTTTCTGAATATAAACACAAGTCTTTAGCCACACAATGCAAACACACCTCTCCAACAACACACACTTAACAAACTGGTCTACAGACAGCACAAAAGGATTATAACCAACATGATGGCCCTGGCCATCTCTTAAGACGGTGTTCTCCATTGTTTGCCCTCCCCTTCAGTGTTACTTATTCAACTCCTCTTTCTTGCCCTCAGTGTTTTCCCTCATTCTTTCCTTTTCTTTAAGCCTTTAGCACAATAAGCTCAAGGTTTGGAGGGCTTCTCTCTATTTGGATCTCCTTAGTGGGAGATTTACTCCGGAAATAGGGCACCCCCCGCCCCAACTATCAGCTAAAATGAACAAAACAATATCCATCACACTCTGATGGTTTTAGCATGTCCAATTGGTTTGGTTTCCATAGAAGCCCTAAGAGGGCATGCATTATTTTTTTCTCACATTTTCATGATCTTGACATAACAAAAGTTGCTTTCTCAGAGACAATGAGAAAAAAGGGACATTGTAATGGCAATATTTATTTTTAATCTCCAAACAAAGAAGAAAATGTGTAAATAAACTTTACTTCAAGATTTTGAGAAAATATCTCTCACATCATATGTACACTACCATTTAAAAGTTTGGTCTGTAAAATTTTTTTTAATATTAAAGACGTCTTATGCTCACCAGGTCTGCATTTGTTACATCAAAAATATTGTTAAAAAAATATATTTATATATTATATAATTTTAAATACTTGTTTTCTATTTTAATACATTTTAAAATGTATTTTATTCCTGTGATGCAAAGCTGAATTTTTAGTAGCCATTACTCTAATCTTTAGTGTCCTTCACAAATAATTCTAATATGCTGATTTTTCTTATTATTAATGTTGAAAGCAGGTACATTATAAACATTTATAGACATTATAAATGTCTTTACTGTCTCATTTGATAAATAATCTGAATAAAATGTTTATCTTTTTTGTCTTTTTCTTTTTCTCTTTTGTCTTTTTCTTTTCTTTTTTCCCCAAACTTTTGAACAGAAGTACATGTTGAGATCTTAGAGGGAAAAAAAACATTTGTTATGTCGAGATCTACTCTACTGTTCTCTTCTTTGAACCGCAAGCTATTCTTAACAACTAGAACCTTTAATCAAAGGTCTGCAATAACTTTCATAACATAGCTATGTCTGTGTAGTCATCTGTAGATTCTCAGTCTCTATCTTTGATTGCAGTGTGTTGTAGGTAGCTTGAACTGCTTAAGCTCACATCTGCATGCCCCTTTGTTTGAGAACAAATCTTAAAATAATCCTCCTCCAGAATTTTGCACTAGGAATAACGAGCAGAGCAAAGGGAATATTACAGCCAGAACATTCAGGAATACACACAGCACTGCAAACCAGAGAGGAAAGGTTAAGCCAGAGAAAGCAGTGCAAGAGATAAAGTTAGAGTCAAAGGGTAAAAGATAGAGAAATTAAGTGAGAAAGAGAGAGAAGCAGATCTCAAAATGTGACTTATCCCTCCTAGCTGGCTGTTATGTCACATTTTGGAGGGCCTCCCCCTTCACAGAGGGAGAAGACAGCCATTACTTACATCAAATAACCTTTCTGTATACATCTCCTCATTGACCTTGTCCCGCAAGACATCCTGAGAGTGGCGAACTAATGTCACATAGCTGTCGGCAACATCCATCCCAGGTTTCTGCAGATGAAGGAAAGAAAGAAAGAAAGAAATGTTTTACTGCTTAATATAATTTAAATACTACCATACAACTCAGCTCAAACACAAACCTCATAAGCCCAAACCTTGTGAGCGGCCTATATAGGCAGCATCCTAAACATCACTGAGCCTGATACGTGACCGATTCAGAACAATCTAGACTCAACTAACTACAACAACAGCTTTTTAATTACACAATTTTCAGTACTGATTGAAATATGTTTTATAATCAACTGTCACTGCAATCTTGGATATGTGTTAAAATTATATCAATGCAAGCATAATCAAGATGTTTACATTTTGAAAAAATAGTTTACCCAAAAATGAAAATGTTGTCCAAGATGTAGATGAGTTTGTTTATTTATCAGAACAGATTTGGGGAAATTTAGCATTATATCACTTTCTCACCAACGGAATGAGAGTCAAAAATGCTTACAAGCAAAAACAGTTCTAAACAAATATACTGGCGAATTTTGATGTGAGAGGACAACAGGGGATGCACTTCTTCACTGGATGAAGCGATATTATGGATTATGAACTGATATTTTGGCCAGAAGTGACATTTTAAAGGTAAAATGTCTAAATAATATGTTATTTAAATCACACCTCACAAGACAGTAATTGATGGACTGGAGTCATGTGGATTATTGTGATGTTTTTATCAGCTGTTTGGACTCTCATTCTGACGGCACCCATTCACTGCAGAGTATCCATTAACAAACAAGTGATGTAATGTTAAATTTTCCATATCTGTTCTGTTGAAAAATCTAAATCATCTACAGGTACATCTTGGATGGCCTTGGAGGGCAAGAAAATTTTCTGCAAATGTTCATTTTTAGGTGAACTATTCCTTTAAAATACTATCAGCAGCTTCCTAGGTTTCATAATGGAGAATGCAGTCACATTTACCACTGTTCAGTAAGTAATTTCAACAAGAGTTTTTGCGATCTGGAATTTCACATGAAAACGAAAGATTTTGCATCGGGATCAAGTTGGTCATGCAATTTTGCCACGTTGTCAACCAAAACACTACATGGTTTGAAAATGACCTCTGTGTGAGCTGTGCTTCATACATTGCTACACTACTGCTATACTAATTTCGCTTACTGCACTATTCTGAAATCTGTATTGCTATGCCAATCTAACGCTTATGGTGATTTTGCTTTGTACAGTAGCAAAGCTACTGTCTACTGTCAAATTAGCAAATTATATTTCATCTGACAAGCAGACAAAAAAAGTGTTTTCTTTCTCATTTTCTTAGACGTCTAATAGTCAAAACCTGAGGTGTGCAAAATGAGCTGTCATTGTCAAAGTCTGAACAGACCGGCAGGAGAACAATGTTATTTGATTAATACAATTCTATTCAACAAAACAGCAAGTGAAAAATCAAGCCAGAGTAAATCTTCTGGGGTGTTCTGCCCCCCTGCTCGGCCTCAGAGGAGAATTAAACACTTCCTTTGCCAGCAGGCATATGAAGGTCATCAGAATTGGTAATTGTCAGACGCTGTAAATTGAACTTACTTCACACATCTATGGGTCCTTTCAAAGGGTGCAAATTTTGTGAGACATACTTTTTACATACTTTTGTGTATTAAGCAAACAATTACCATGGAAACATAAGATTTGCTAACCCTCAGATCATCAGCAGAACGATAAAGATAGAGAGAAAGACAGCGAGAGGACATTCCGGCATTCATTGACAGGGTTTTAATTTAAAAGGCCTCGCGTCGTGACCAAATGTGTTGGCAGTTGAAGGAAACTCAGTGATGTGATGCTGAATGCAATGAGTTGGACCCAGCGGCATCTTCACAACGGGCTTTTGTTGCACAACACACACATCACACTGTCTGCTGCAGAGGGGAGAGCTTCACAGAGACGACTCTCTCCCACATACATATGAATGGCCATTTGGGGCTAAGAGATGGCCACCTGCACAGCAGGCCATGGTAATTATTAGACATATCTTAAAGCTGTTACAAATCTTCTGATAACAAAGTGTAACTTACTATTAATGAATTATCCAAACTAATATGCTTCTACTACTGAGGTTTCATGTCTACAAGAAACAAAAGTTGATTTAAGACGTAAGAGCGGGTGCGGCCAGTTGTAAATTTTATGTGCGAGGCTTCCGGTCTCATCCACTTCCAGCTATTTTTAGCTGTACAAAACAGCATTTTTTTGCTGTATGATATTGCAAACTAGTGTGTCTTACCATCTTATTTTAATGTATTATCTTAATTATGAACACACTGGTTTGTAGTGCAAACAGTTTTACCATTTACTGCACTTTGTTATTATTCTCGCTATTTCCCTACAGCCTGATAATGAACTGAAAGTCTTGCACATTCACAGAAAATTGCTTACTTTCACACTGAAAAATAAGGTGGATAAACAATTAACTGTTTGATTGATAAATCAAATGAGCATCAGTAAAAAATCCTGTTGTTACTTACAGGTACGTCCACATATTTTGAAGCAGCTTTTACCTACAAATAAAAGGGACATAAAAATCAGAATTAAAATAATCATTTAAATATAAATATTTTACTTATACAATACTGCAAAGTGAAAGATAACACATCTTTAGAAGATTGCAAATTTTTAATATAAGAATAAATTGAAATAATGCATTTTGAGTGAAAACATCTTGTGCTAAAGTAAAATTTTTTATTAAAATTGTCTGAGTTTGTTAATAAATTAAGCCACTATTTGTTCTTACTGTAAATGACAGGAAGGAGGAAAAAAGTGTGCCTTCATCATAACGTGACAACTTTGCCAGAACACTCTCTAGGATCACAACAAACTGTAAAACAGAAATAAAGAATAAAAAATAGAACATATTGTCTTTTTAAAAATGCTAAATTATCATAATTGATCATTATTTTCATGCTATGAATTTCAAGAGATTTAATAATGAACAGAAAACAAGAAACAGTATGATTTAGAAAATTAATGTCTGCTTTTACTGTTTTATTTATCTTTTTGAATAAAGCAATTGTATGTAGATATCAAAACATAACTTAGGAATATTGTTTTCCTTAAATGCTACCTTTGCCACGAGTAAAGTAATCATTTCTTTCACCATCTCCTCGATGAGATTGTCTATTTGCGAGTGGTACTGTCTCTGGAAAAGAAAGACATAATGAGCAGAAATCGCAACAAGCTTTCTTGAGCTGTTTGGTGGTTTTCACCTGGGATAATCTGTGCCAACTCAAAATCCCTTTGTCTCCATTTACCCCATATGAAATACGTCTGGGTAATTAATTCAGTTCAGATCATTACCTGTCTCAAGATGCTACGGATATGAGATGTCTCACTTCTAGCACATGTATATTCAGAAGCAGCTATCACATATGGTAATACAATCAAAACAATTTAAGTGTCACAGGACTGGGGGAAACTGCTAGGATTACTAATTATACCTTTGGGACATAAAGGTGAGAATTCAATTGAATTGTTAGCCACACTTACCCATTCTCTAACAAACTTTCACAAGATTGAGAAAAGGGATGAAAAGAAAGATACAGCAGACAAGGTGACAGTGACAATTAGAGAGCAACAGAGAGAAAAAGAAAACGTCTCATTCCAGCACAGAGTCAAATTAAATTAAAATTCAGAAATGATGGAAAATTGCCATGCTGGTGAATCATTCAGATCTACAGCAGTAAATGCATTTAAATGATATATTTACAATCGTAGAGAATAAAAACAATGTTCAATTCACATATACCTGCTGTATATATTGTAGGCTGGTGCATATGATGAATACATGCAATTCAAAACACTACAGAATAATGGATTTTACTATGTAAATTGATATTCAATCTAAGATGTATGCAGATCAGCACATTATGAGGGTGTTGTACTTGAAAAATTGTGGCAGAGAAAGTGCATGTTTGCAATGATGAGAAAGATAGAGAACATGAGAAGTGTATAAGGATGTAAGTGAGAACAGAAAGATACATTTGTTAGTGTTGTCTACCTCTTGGCTGAGCTCCATGGCACATAGTTTGGCCGATTGGGCCTTGGCGTCCACCATGACGTTGAACATGGTGCATATGGACTGGGGGACACGGAAGTCTGTAGTGCGTGGACTCTTCTGCAACTTCACCTCAAAGGCTGCTCTGGTTCTGAAACAACACAAGGGACACCGAATTCTGATTGGTTGCTTTGGTCATTTAGAATGGTGTAGGATTGTCAAAAAGTCAGGAAACAAGACTAAATATATGTGACTATTTAAGAGTTTCAGAATAAAAATTGCCTGATAATTTACTCACCACTCATTTACTCACAATTAAGTTTTTAATGAAAACTTTCCAGGATTTTTCTGAGCAATAAGGGTCTTATGTAGCAAAATGATCTGTCATTTTCTAAAAAAAAAAATTACAAAATATATATTTTCAATATATATTTGACTGTTCAGTCATGAAACTCTAGATGGCACATTCTGACGGGGTGTTAATGTAACTGATGATATTCAGAGAGTTAAACGACTTGGCACAAGCTGATTGGTTCATGCTGCATATGCAGCCAATGAGCTTACTGCCTTGCATTTATATGGCTGGCTAGCATTCACTTGAGATTCCTGCAGCGCGCTTTCAGAGTTCTCTGAAACCCTCCACCTTCCCCAGCTTCACCTGTATAGATCTGCTACGGGGTTATTTTATATGCTATTTGTGCAGCAGCAGTATGTCTTAAATACTCATGGCACCGTATCGCCATATGCATTGGCAGTAGCAAGTTCCTGTACTTGCTTGCAGCAGCAGCAATAATTTACAACTACAGCAATAACCAACAGCAGCAGCAATTCAGCAGCAGCGTAGCAGATCTGTTCCGCCAAGACCAAATACATTAACATTGTCATATCCATCACCATGCTAAAATGTTCAGAGAGTTGTCATGATTGAAATACTTTTTAACTACAAATGCTCATCTTGCACTAGCTCGACCCTCGTGCATTACGTAGTCACGTTGGAAAGGTATATAAAGAGGTATATAAAAAGTATAGTTAAAAAGTATATAATTTTTTTTTTTTTTTTTTTAGAAAATGGCAGATCGTTTTGCAAGATAAGACTCTTATTCCTCAGATGGGATTGTGTAGAGCGCTTTGAAGCTGCACTGAAACTGAAACACTCAATTTGAACCTTCAACCCATTGGCCACCATTGAAGTTGGCCATCATGAAGAAAAATGTTTTCCTCAAAAACCTTAATTTCTTTTCAGCGGAAGAAAGAAAGACATGAACATCTTGGATGATATGAAGGTGAGTAAATTATCAGGAAATTTTCATTCTGGAAGTGAACTAGTCCTTTAAACTCTCATTAGCAACTGGCATTCTAAGTAGTACAGTAGATATAGGCAAACTATATATTTGGTTGAACTGTAACTTATGAGATGACTGAGATCCAGCAAAGGATCTAAATAAATACATAAACAAAACACACAAATGAGTGTTTTATGTTCCACATTTTTAGCATAATAAAACTTCTTTGTGTAGATTGGAAGAGGAAAAGGGGTGGATTATTTTACTTGTTACTGAATCAGCAAATTACCATGACATTACATACAACAGTTTCTTAAAGCACTTCAAATCACGTCTTCACTCACAGCAATGACAAAGAGTTTATTACGACTTAAGAGTGACTGGAAGAATGCAGTTAAGAAGACGTCCTGCTTGACATCCTCAAAACAAGTAAAAGGATTACAAATGTGGGCCTGCATACTGAAAATCAGCCAGCCCTTTTTCTGTTATTCAAATGGAAAAGCCAGCAGATTTTACAAAAACGACTTCACTGCTTATATGTACTGTTTACTAAAGTGTACTTAAGTGAAATTACTACTAAGTGAGGATGTAGTCTCTCAATTAATGTGATGTCATAATAATATTATGAACAAAATGCTGCTTAAAACAGTTTTGGATAAACCAGCAGGACAAACCAAAACGTGTCTTGAACAAATAAAGTGTCCACTGTCAAAATGCAGCAGTTAAGTCAATTCTATGGCTGTTTATACATTACAGATTGTTTCAAAGCAGCTTCAAACAGGAAAAATACATTATTAGCATTGCAAAGTTCATCAAATAACTGTCAACAATGTTTTCAAGTCTCACCTTTTTACACAGGACTCGATCATGTCACTGGACATGAGTTTGAGTCGGCTCTCCAAGTGCTTGGCAAACTCTTCTTCTGGCCAGTGCAGGTCTCTGATGAATGTCTGCAATGCATCCAGCTTCCAAAACAAGTCTTCTGATGTCCCTGATCCATTACTGCCAACACCAGGACATGTGCAGAGGAGACAGTCAGAGATATACATTAAATTATTTTAATCAAAGCTGTATATCAGGAAGGGAAAGCTCCAAGGTCAGGAAGTAGGAAGGTCAAAGGGCAGGGAGGTGGGGGGTTAAAGAAGACAAAACCTGTTTCAAGTCCACACTCCAGGGTGACACATTCGGTTTAGTTATTTTTACCACTTCCCAATCGTTGCAGAGGTGCTCTGATGACTTCAGAACAACCTCATTGGCGATCGTTCCATGGAAAAAATAAATGGTTAATCCTAAAACAAAATGATAACCAGTCAGGCCTGGGCTGCGTTTCCCAAAAGCATTGTATGCTTAAGTACATCGTAGACCCATTGAAACCAATGGAGCTACAATCAACTTAAGCTTACGATGCTTTTGGGAAACGCAGCCCTGGTTGTTTGAGTACAGGAAAGATAAAACATGCAGAATGATGTCAAAAGAGAATTTCAAGATCACAAGTAAAGGCTGTATGTGTATGAAGTGGCAGGAGAAGCTACAGTCCCAGACTTTCAACTGATCTGACTAAAGGCATAGATCTGTTTGGATGGAGCCAATTTTAAGGCCACATGGTCTGAAGTGAATGAAGAATGGATCATAGAAGAAAACAGATTAACTCTCACTCCATTCCTTACAGCCGCATGTATGAGTCCTCAAACAGCCAGCAGGCCAAGGCATCTTCAGTGGAAACATATTTTTGGATCAACTGAATCAGAGAGCTTCACACTGAAGCCAGATTTAGTTAGAAGACTCTGTAGGAGCTTTCACACTTGATTCATTTATACTCAATTCTGCTAAAATGGGGTCTCAGACTCAACAGACACTCACATACAGCAGTAGGATATATTTCTACACATCCTTCTACTTCTGTATGTGAGTGTCTGTTGATAAATATATAAATAAATAAATAAATAAAAGAAAGACTGATACTGACCAACAATCAATAATTAATTGTATCAATATTTTATTTATTTATTTTAGCAGTATATTCAATTCAATTCAATATATAATCTTAACACATTTATATATTATGAATTGATTTATATATTTTTTACTTTATGATTTTTTTCCAATGATAAAAAACTTTTTGCGATTTATATATATATATATATATATAAAGGCTCCAGTCATTGCAAAATGACTGAAGGAGAAGCATCCAAAGATGTATGTTACCACTGATTAATAGAAAAATACTAAAATAATTTTTTTTTTTAATTTTCACTGAAACTGTTGTGCTGATAATAAAATTTGAAATGAAAATGATGAATTAGAAAAATGGGAGTTTTTTTTTTACAATACTTTATAACAACATTTTGCAATTCAAATTTAAAATGAATAAATAAATAAATAAAAGGATACTCTATTAAAATCTACCAAATTAGACCTCAAACAAGAATGTTAAGCCATCGTGTGAAAAACACCAAAAATGACTGTTGTGAGAAACCATGCAGTTTGGGTTTCTCACACAACCAGTCCTTTTAAAGTCTTATATTTGGTTTCTACTGAAAGCAGATGCCTGTTTCTCTGAAGCTTGTATATCACTTTAGAGCATTGTCTGTCGCACTGTAGATGAGGGAAACAGGACAGGAGCAAAAGTGGGATGGGGTTGATCTTCCTCAGTATTCCCATCCTGACACCCTAAAACAGGCTACAACTGGAGTGCTACTACTCTAGGAACCATTACCTATCAAATACAGCAAGAGGAAAGAGAAAGGACAACTGTATCCTGCTCTATTCTAATAGAAAAAGGGAAAGGAGGAAGATGTTGGAAAGATACAAGATGTTAAAGCAGCATTGCTTATTCATGACCAGAAACCAAGAGCATCTAACCATTTGACCATGATATTGTGAATAATTTTGTTAAAGGTGAAGCGTGTAATTTCTGTGCTACTTGCAGCATCAAACAAAACTGCAATCTTTTTGTTTTAGTGGCTGAAATGAACAACTTTGGCTCAGCCAATGGCATGAGTTTGGGACAGGGCTGAACAAAGACGTCTGAAATTGCTTTTATGTTGGCTTGACATTTATGTGTCCACACAGAAAACATTAGAACCATCCATCCAAAATACCTTGGTAATCAAGCAGCAATATTTAGCAGTGTTAAAACTCTTCAGAATTAAGAAGAGTCTAACCAACATTTAACAAATTGTCCTAACAAATGTTCCCTTCTAGTTATTTTTGTGATTCTGTTTGGTGCCGCTAGTGCAGAAGTATGGCACACTTCATCTTTAATATTTAGCTAGCAAAACATATATATTTTATAGTGTGTCATTTGTATCTTCCAACCCTTCAACATGCATAGGGTTTTTGGGTTAAAAATTGTTTCCATAATGTGGCCTTAGCCTGAAACATAACATAACTGAAATTTATAAACACTCATTTCTACAAAGTTGAAATAATTTAGTCTGACATGCCAAGACAGAGACTCAAATTTTGAGGTGGTGTTGTCTAGTTTTGGCAACCTTTGGTGTTTACCCACTATTACACCTTAGAGATGGAATATTTACACCGAGTCTCACTCAGCATGCATAATTATGTCTGTGTGTGCATACGTAATTTTTTTCCAACACATGCAGTGCGTAAGGTATTTCACTCTCATCTGGAAAGTGGTAATACGCTAAGGTTTGGAGTATCAGTTTTTAATTATCATGTCTAAATATAAGCTAAAATTCCCTTGGCGCACCTCTGACAACTCCCTAAATCACAAATTCTTAATTCATAGGCAATGTTTATGTAGAAAATTTCCACACATGTAAAGAAAGTAGCTGATTCTGCATGTACAGTTTTAAGAACTATTTGTAAATTAGATTTTATATTACTACTATAATGTTATCTTCATGTGAGTCAAGATGTAATGCTTTATTACTATGTTTTTCATTTTGTTTTTATGTGCATACTTTGAAATTTGTACTTTGTCAAGCTACAAGCTACTCAAACTTTAATGAAAATGCTCTAAAGTAAGCCTTTTTTAAACTGTTTGTTACACAAGCTGTTAAAAAAGAAGCTAACTTCACTGACATAATATTCATTTTAAACCCAGAAAAAGGGTCTCCAAATGACCAATCTTCTCCTAAGACTAAAATCAGTTAATTAAAATTGTAAATATATAACACACTATCATATGATCCAATAAGAAAAATAAATAAATACAATTGATCATATTCACCTACAAAAAAAAAAAAAAAAAAACTCAATAAGTGAGATTCTGGCCTCTTGCACAGCATATGTTTATCTAAAGCAGAATTTCAAAGCTTCTGTTTGTGTTTATTGTCTTTTATGTGCATTATGACACATGACAATGATCAGAAACAAAGTAAATCAACAACAGATTGTGTTAAGCTGTAAAAAAAATATTTAATTTAGTTGTGAAATTCTTATCGGAAACACATAGAAATGTTCTGGAGCGATCTGTGGTTGAACTATTGGCTCAACAAAAAAAAAAAATATATATATATATGTATACTGTATATATATATAATGTAATATGTTAGATGTTCCATAATATCATTTTAGAAATTCTGAAGTCCTCAATTGCAAAGACTTTCCACATGAAAACTTATACCTACAATTGATCTGGGGTGAATTCGAATTGGAATTCAGTATAAAATAAAGACAATATGTTCATGCTAAGGCCACGCATGCATGTATTAGAATCCGGTACAGACTCAGTACACACTCAGTATCAGATAAACCCGGTATCCAGTTGGGGGTGGAAAAGCTAGGCATTTGCATTGGTGGCAGATTAACTGACACTGGTAGATTTGGTACTTTAGGCATTTGTAGATTCACATTTGGTAGGCTGACACTGGGCAGATTACTTGTTAAACTCCTGTGGAAAAGGAAAAAAAAAACACAGAAAAAAGAATGCACTGATGTTGATGCACAAAAGAAAGTGTGGGTGATACAGAAACAGCATTATGTACAGTATGTTTAGAGCACAAGATGAAGAATTAATTCAGAGATATGATGGTGTTGTAGAGAAGAGAAGTGCACATGAGAAGTAGTGAATCACATCATCACCACTTTGGCTCTGGGTTTTACGAGAAAACACACACTTTTGTTTCTGCTGAAGTGCAGATTGTTGACTCAATTAGCATTAACATTCTTACAGTCACACACTTTGTCTTCCAGTATGTTGCTTTGTCGAGTGATTCCAAGTTATTCTGATGACTGGTATATTTGGGAATCATGTAAGATTGTTTTTCAAGTTCAACAAGCAGGGCTGGTTTGGACTGTAAGAAAATTAGGGCTAGTTAAAGAAGAAAAAAAAACCTTCATCTTGAAAATAATTACTTTTAAGCTGTTAAAAACAAATAGACGTGCTAAAAAAGATTCAGGAAAACAAAAAGACACAAAACACATTGTGAAACCTTTTTCAGTCTGTTGGTATCTATTTAGCTGTTTCTGAACACAAGAAGACTGCGGAAGGCCATGCATGCATTTTTATTTTTTTATAACTGTACTGAATTAACATCTTCATCATAAACGTTTAAAATGAAAACGTGTTTTGCTTACTTGACAGGTTCCCAAGACTCTCGTTCAAATCCTCTGTGTATGGACTGAGCTATGGAGGACTCCATTAGATCCACATACCTCACCACCAGAGGGGCAAACAGGTCTTGCAGGTGCTTATGAAACTTCCCATTACATAGATTATCTGAAACAGCGAAAACGAAAAGTGGGAAAGAGAGAAAGAACAGAATGAATGATTGCTGACATCTAGTAGTAACAGCAGACAATGTGTGACTAAGCAAATCTGAAAAATTAAGGTGGCAAAACACTGAAGTGTTATGGCACTTTCAACAGGATACATGCTGTGGTAAGGCCTGACAATTTTTGTTAATTTCAGGAGATCAAACTAAATATTATATGAGTGATTTTTGATTTATCGTATTGGTTGCAATTTTTGCAACCCTTTCATTAAAATTTGGGACATGTCTAGATGCTGTTTAAACTCTGATGTTTGGATTGGATAATTTTTAGCAAAAGAAAAAAAAAAGTAGTAAACACAAAAATAAAATAAAACAACAAAAAAGGCCCAAGTAGTCAGTGGCAAACTTTCTAATTTTTTAAAAAATGATTTCTTTAGGATCCAGTGACACTTAAGTGAAGAGAATTGAAGACTGAAGAAAGTCTACTGTATTGGTGGAAACATGCATTTTTTAGCATGTAATGACTAAGCATAGGAGTCATAGCATCTCTATTTCTCTCACTTCGCTCTCTCACTATCTCTCTTGTTGTACTCAAGGTCGATCATTCGCAGTAGGTGCCATGTTTGTTTGCTTCCCTGATTGCTCTGTTCCAATTAGCCACTTGAGCGGCGGTGGTTGTACACTTGACTGTGTTTGTCCGCGAGCAAGTGGCCGGGGCAGTGGGGTCTCCCAGGCTCCTCTGTTTTAGACCTCATTAGCAGCAAGAATAGCTTCTGCTTTAGCGCCTGTCTGGTGTTAAGGCTGTTTCATGCCTAGCTCAGTGCTACAGGCACAGGACGATACTGACCTTCCATGCTGAATGTCCTGTTCCACAGATGTAGTGCACGCTGTAGGCTGTCGCTCGATGGTGTTTGTTTGTGTTTGTGTTTATGCGAGTGTGCTTGTGTGTGAGGAGGCCAGAGGGAGGTGATATGTGTCTCTGTGTTGTAGCGAGGAGTAATATGTGTGTGGGTTTACGGGGAACTACATGGGGCTAGATTGGGGAACTAGATGAAACTAGATTGTGTTTAACCCTGTTAAGCTTATTGGAACTTTAGACAAAATATAATTAATTTTAAAAGTTTGCATTTGTGTTTTTTTAAGTATCATATTTATTGCATCAAGCTTTTATGGCTCATATATGATATATTGAGAATATGGAGCTAATACTCAAAAAAGAAGAAAAAACTCAGAGGTCCAAACTGAGCAAAAATATGCAATTTGGAGATGATTTTTAAAAAGACCAGTAAGTGTTCTTCTTGAAATATTACTAACAATGCAAAATATTTTACATTTATGTTATAAAATCAGCAAAGATTGTGCAGGAAAAAGACACATGAATCGACATGAAGGCGGATATTTTCAGAATTACACTAAAAGGCTTTTTACTTGCTAAAAAAATTTGAAGCATCAATCAGATGACAGAAGGATGTACAATGTCTTGATCATGTTTATAATTTAGAGCCCTTGAAAATAAGATGGATAAGAAGGTCTTTCTCTGCTGGAATGCTGAAAAACAGACCATGTATATAAAAGACCTTTACTCCCTTCTTTAAAATGACGTGACATGTGGCCAAGTATGGTGACCCATGCTCGGAATTAGTGCTCTGCATTTATCCCATCCAAATGTGCAGCAGTGAACACACATCCGGAGCAGTGGGCAGCCATTTTTTGCTGCGGCGCCCGGGGAGCAGTTGGGGGGTCGGTGCCTTGCTCAAGGGCACCTCAGTCGTGGTATTGAAGGTGGAAGAGAGCGCTGTACATTCACTCCCCCCACCTACAATCCCTGCCGGTACGAGACTCGAACCCGCAACCTTTGGGTTACGAGTCCGACTCTCTAACCATTAGGCCATGACTTCCCCACACGAAGTCAAGAATAATTCAATTTTTTTAATTTAAGATATTAATTCTAAGACACAATCTCTCATAGATGAAGAGGAAGAGACAGAAGAACAAAAATAAACAAATACAAACAAAAAGCAAGCTAACAAACAAATAAATACCAAGCATGTGAATGTAAGGGAAACAATATTCAAAAATAAAATACAATTTAAATATACTTTAAAAAGGAAAAGGCTGTTAAATTGTTTATTTTATACATAGTATACACTCTTGATTTCTCAAGCTCTCCCAGAAGAAAAAGCAATCCAATATCAAGAATAGGTTACCAGACAACAACCTGTCAAGCTGTGCAAAGAATGCCACTAGGATAATTAGTCAACTGCAGCCCATGGCAGTGTGGCTTTAGCACCATGGACAGCACCCCATTGACTTCAGTTCATTAGAGACGTGATAAGGCCTTGAGCAAACTCTTTACATTCAATGTGTTGGAAGGAACTGCCTGAAGAGCTCAGAGACAGAATTGTGGCAAGGCACAGATCTGGCCAAGGTTACAAAAAACTTTCTGCTGCACTTAAGGTTCCTAAGAGCACGGTGGCCTCCATAATCCTTAAATGGAAGACGTTTGGGATGACCAGAACCCTTCCTAGAGCTGGCCGTCTGGCCAAACTGAGCTATCGGGGGAGAAGAGCCTTGGTGAGAGAGGTAAAGAAGAACCCAAAGATCACTGTGGCTGAGCTCCAGAGATGCAGTCGGGAGATGGGAGAAAGTTGTAGAAAGTCAACCATCACTGCAGCCCTCCACCAGTCGGGGCTTTATGGCAGAGTGGCCCGACGGAAGCCTCTCCTCAGTGGAAGACACATGAAAGCCCGCATGGAGTTTGCTAAAAAAACACCTGAAGGACTCCAAGATGGTGAGAAATAAGATTCTCTGGTCTGATGAGACCAAGATATAACTTTTTGGCCTTAATTCTAAGCGGTATGTGTGGAGAAAACCAGGCACCTGTCCAATACAGTCCCAACAGTGAAGCATGGTGGTGGCAGCATCATGCTGTGGGGGTGTTTTTCAGCTGCAGGGACAGGACGACTGGTTGCAATTGAGGGAAAGATGAATGCGGCCAAGTACAGGGATATCCTGGATGAAAACCTTCTCCAGAGTGCTCAGGACCTCATACTGGGCCGAAGGTTTACCTTCCAAGAAGACAATGACCCTAAGCACACAGCTAAAATAACGAAGGAGTGGCTTCACAACAACTCTGTGACTGTTCTTGAATGGCCCAGCCAGAGCCCTGACTTAAACCCAGTTGAGCATCTCTGGAGAGACCTAAAAATGGCTGTCCACCAACGTTTACCATCCAACCTGACAGAACTGGAGAGGATCTGCAAGGAGGAATGGCAGAGGATCCCCAAATCCAGGTGTGAATAACTTGTTGCATCTTTCCCAAAAAGGCTCATGGCTGTATTAGATCAAAAGGGTGCTTCTACTAAATACTGCGCAAAGGGTCTGAATACTTAGGACCATGTGATATTTCCGTTTTTCTTTTTTAATAAATCTGCAAAGATGTCAACAATTCTGTGTTTTTCTGTCAATATGGGGTGCTGTGTGTACATTAATGAGGAAAAAAAATTAACTTAAATGATTTTAGCAAATGGCTGCAATATAACAAAGAGTGAAAAATTTAAGGGGGTCTGAATACTTTCCGTACCCACTGTATATTAATTAAAATAAATTCTTGAATGTTTGAAAGAATGTTTCTGGCAGTATATGAGACACATATGGTGTCAATAGAAATGACCTTGTATTTAAACTACAATATTCATTTGATAAGGCATAAAATATGTGGACCTTTCCAGAAAAGATCATTGCAAATACTCACAGTCAATGCGCAGGAAGTCATTGAGCAACTGAAAGAGAGGGAAGCTGTCCCAGCTGTCTGGTGGTTGGACCTCCAGTGCCGCGTCCATGTCCACAGCATATAGAGACAGAAACGTCTCGGCATGTTCAACCATCAGGTCTGACCACCAAGCAAATGCCTGCAGCGAGAGAAAGAGAAACCGAGGCAACACAAGTACCTGTCAAGCTGTGCAAAGAATGCCACTAGGATAATTAGTCAACTGCAGCCCATGGCAGTGTGGCTTTAGCACCATGGACAGCACCCCATTGACTTCAGTTCATTAGAGACGTGATAAGGCCTTGAGCAAACTCTTTACATTCAATGTGTTGGTACGACCCCCTGCAGGGTTTGCTATTTGGCCCTTAATTCTTCTATATTGTCTCTTAAAGCTCCGCTTTGTTGCAATTTGTAACTTATTGCAGGCATGCAACATCACAAATATGCAAATAGTATGGACTGTAGATATGACAATTTCCAATTTCATTCATTTCATTTATTCGTTTATGATAACCATGATTATTGTCCACAGCATATAGAGACAGAAACGTCTCGGCATGTTCAACCATCAGGTCTGACCACCAAGCAAATGCCTGCAGCGAGAGAAAGAGAAACCGAGGCAACACAAGAGCCAGAAAAAAGGGGGAAATGAAATCAAAAATAAAATTAGCCTTGTAATATAAAGACATACACTCAAGTTTAGTCCTTTCTCTTATATGTAAGGGCATGACAGTCCACAGATCTATAAAAATTAAACTGAAACAGTTTTGAGATTAATGCTAGACTCTCCAGTAATGCAATTTTTCATCTTTGTGTCTGTGGCGTGTCATGAGCTTATCTCATGCATTAAAACTCTCATGCTACTCCGTCCTCTAAAAAGCATAGCTAATGTCTAATTCACATACATTGATTTATATTTAAAGTATATCCTTTATTTACTTTCCATTTTGCAGATGTGAAGTCCATGCACAGGAATTTAAGCCTTTGTAACAAACAAATTCCCAGCATGCAGCAGCAGCATTGATTAGCAGCACAATCTCAGTAATTATTAGCATTGTTTCTCTGTTCAAAACAAAATCATTTTAAATACACTCCTAAACATAAAAGTTATTTATTGGCGTTGTTGGTTCCATGAAGACCTTTAACATCCATGAAACATTTACATTGCACAAAAGGTTCTTTATAATAATAAAAAAGTTCAGAAAAAAGGTTATTTCTATTGCATATATATTTTTAAGATTGCAATTATGTCTTCTGTATATGAGATTCCTCTGCTGCTGATCAAACCGCGCTGCTGTGTGTAACACATCTGGCCTGTAGATATGCATCAAGCGTGTTAGACAAATGAAAAGTTAATGTAGATCATGGCTTCCTCTCCTTTAAAAAGGCATGCTGTTGTCACTGACCACTCAAACAAATTTTCATACCAGTATTTTTGAGACCAGTTTTTTTCCTTGCAACATCTCTCCCAAAAAACACAGATAAGTGCATTTGTTACACAGTTTTATATTTGTTGTCAGAGCAGGTAAGTGAAGCTAGCAGACCAAACCAAGCTGAAAAACACAAAACAGAGGAGAGTTTGGAGATTATTGGGGTTGTGCAAGGGTGAAAATGAGACCAGAGGTTTTTTGGGGTGTCTGCTTCCACAGGTGAAGCACTGTCCCCTTGTGCTTGTGGAAACAAGCAACTTGCTCAATGCTCCACAGCGACAGCTGACCAGGGGAAGGATGGGGTGTCCAGGCAGAGATGGGGAGGACGAAATTAGGGGGAAAAGGTGGAAATCCCTCCATCCATGGTACAGCGGCTGCGACATGCACATGGAGGGGGACTCTATGGTCTACATACCTCTTTACCCTGTCCAACGTTTTCCAGCCAACAAACAAGTCATGAAAAACAGTGAGAGTTACGTGAGATTTTCTTCGCTCTGTGTTTTGGATTGAGTACTTGATTATCATAAATTCTTCAGCATTAAAGGGCTTTAAATTGCAATTGGAAAACAATGTGAAAACAGTTAAGAATGATTGACAGTGATCTTGATCAAAAGGAAGCAAACAAACACAAGAAATAATGTTTAATAATTCAATCATTCTTATGCTTAAGACAGTTTGGTACGCTTGTAAAGATTCTAGGTTTTGACGTGGAATTGTCACTGATGGCTTAAAAATTACATGATATATATGTATGTCCATCAATTTATCAAATGTATTAAATTATTTTGTGCATGTACATGATGCACATTTACATTTGAACATGCAATTTTAAGGGCATGATAAATGACTGGACTATGTAAAATACCATAAACAATCCCATGCACTTTAGTGGACATATTTATTTAAAATGATTTTATGTGCTTAAAGGGATAAGCCACCCAAAAGTGAATAATTCTGGTGAGTAAAGTATGACTATGTTGTTCCAAACCTGTAGCCATTTCTGTAGGCAGATATTTTGACTAATCTTTTTGTTTATATAATTAGAGTCAGTGTGGTCCCAACCAACATTGGACCCAACTGATTTTCATTGTATGGACTACAAACAAATAAACAGACAGACAGACAAAAAAAGACATAATTCAAAATATCCTCTTTTTGTTCTTAATGAATTTTGGGTGAACTATTCCTTTAATGGTTTAATGAACCTGGTACTAGAAGTGTAAATGGAATTTACAAAAGAAAACAAAAAAGACAGAGTAATAGACTTGAAATAAACTGAAATGATGATGAACAACTTAGCACAGCTGTAGTAATTTTGTCCATTGACTATGATGCCTTCAAACTGGAATGTACTCAGTCAATGTGACAGTAATTTCAGTTCAGTTCTATCTACCTATCTATCTATCTATCTATCTATCTAGTTCTGAATTTAACTCTTTAATTAACTTAGAATGAGCTGAACTGAAATTAAATAAATCCACCCTGCAGATGCCTGACTCCTGATTTGCTATGCCCATGTAAAGCCTCTTCCAGGGCAGGCCAGATCATGAGACTGGCATGCTAGAGCAGGGTATGCCACTGATGACAGAAAAAAATAAAAAATACTGTACCGCCTGACCTCCCGTACTTGGGTGTGTAGCCTGCGGAGCACATAATTTAAAAACACAAAAACACACATATGTGACCCTGGACCACAAAACTAGTCTTAAGTCGCTGGGGTATATTTGTAGCAATAGCCAATGAAACATTGTATGGGTCAAAATTATCGATTTTTCTTTTATGCCAAAAATCATTAGGATATTAAATAAAGATCATGTTCCATGAAGATATTGTGTAAATCTCCTACTGTAAATATATCAAAACTTAATTTTTGATTAGTAATATGCATTGCTAAGAACTTCATTTGGACAACTTTAAAGGCGATTTTCTCAGTATTTTGATTTTTTTTGCACCCTCAGATTCCAGAGTTTCAAATAGTTGTATCTCAACCAAATATTGTACTATCCTAACAAACCATACACCAATGGAAAGCTTATTTATTCAACTTTCAGATGCGGTATAAATCTCAATTTTAAAAAATTGACCCTTATGACTGGTTTGTGGTCCAGGGTCACATATATTCTGCTGTTGTCTGTGAGATGATGACGGCTGCTCTAATGGGGAATGTCATCTAAATAGAGCTAGCAGCCATTGAGGACCCTTTTTTTTTGTTTTTTAATATTATTATTATTGAAAACATTTGAAGTTGCTCTGAGGTCTTATTATTGAATCAGCATTGTTTGTTTTCACATAACTATGCCCCTGACATATTTCTTTTCATCCTTGTATATTTAAGCATGTCTACCACGTAATGTCTGGCACACTCACTTCAGCATGATGTTCTTCATTCTGCTGGAGCACCTCTATGACCAGCTCGGCCAGACGGAGCGTGTCCTCAAGCTTTTTGGCAGGTGTGACTAAGCGCCCTACATTTTCTGAGGCACAAAGGTACAACAGTTAATACAGACATACAAATACAAGCACACAGAAAACACTGGACTTTCCTCAGCCTGTCTGATGCCTAAAGTAAACTGCATTTCACTTCATGTGATTTTAAACTTAATATGTACTGTCTGCAAAGCAGAAAAATACATTATGTTTTAACAGTGAATTAAATAGTATTTAATTTAAATCCTTTTCCGAGGACTCACTTCATAAGCATATCTGCTATGAAGACAACAAATTTAGATGATAATTAAAATTACAGAGTAGGTAAGAGATGGGTAAAGTTCAGAATTATGTCTAAATTTTCATTTGAATTTCATAAATGTTCTCTCTGGAAAAAAAAAAACTGACTTGATGAACCACAAATTAGCTGCTGCATGTATCAACTCTGCTGTCTTAGTTAACGATTTAGCATAATCTTGACACTCTGTCAACACTCAGCTCTGTAGACACGAACCATAATGAGTCAATAAAGAGCAACGCAAGTTTAATGAGTCAAACCAAGGAACTGAGGGAAAAGAAAGGATAAAAACGACAACAAATATGTTATAGTCATCATGCATAATGTTCAGCACATGCAGGAATTTATGTCATCTCATTTCCTACCTCTCTCTGTCAATACAAGCTGGCAGCACCTCTCTCTTAAACATGTCCTATTTCAATGTACCCTTCATTGTCTATCTCATCTGTCATTATATGACATGGAGAACGACAGGAGTTCATTTAAATATAAGAGTATGAAATTAAAGAAATCATATACCAGTTTATAGTGGACTGTTGTGAAAATGGAAATATATTCAATGGTCTTAAGCATGACGAATACACACAATATAAAGCAAATTGTTTATTGCTTTTGGTTAAGGATGGGATTGTAAAGTAAAGAGACATTTATGAGACCATGGTGTATGGATACATGTTTTATACTGTAGCTCATAATGCTGAGAGGGTGTGTTTATGTGATGATTTAGACAACCTAACTGATTTTTGTTTGTGTAGCTGCTGTTGGTTTTGAACAAAGATTTGTTTGCGCTGTCAGTTTTTGAGATCTTTCAGCATTGTCTTTTTTTGACTGTGGTAAATGTGGCACTTTGATGGAGGAACACAAAGACAGAGGAACTAGGAAGTGAAGTCATTTGCTGTGTGACAAATGTCAAAACAATTAACATCATTTTGAAGAGTCACACCCCCTCTCAGTCAACAGTGCTTTCATCACTAAACACAAAGCACACGCCCCTTAAATGTGAATTAACCCTCTGACCTTTCATCTAATTGTATCTCAGTCATCTTTAGCTCCTTCAGTAGGACTGAAGACTTTCACAAAATATAATATCCGTGGCCTTTTAAAGGGTTACTGTCCATGCAGGGACGACATGTCATGTACTAGCGCAAAATCAGGTATTTCAATTGCGATGAACAGCATTTTGACATTTGGATTATTTTTCAAAAGCATCCAAAAAGACTTAGACATTTTGAAATACCCGATTTCCCTAATTCAAGACATGAATGGAGGGTTTCTAAAACAATCCATGACATACTGTACTTTGTAGATTAACTATATGTATTTTTTTGATATTTTTGTTAAGGTTTCAGAAACCACACACAGACTCCGTCATGTCACCATATTTACTCTAATGGAAAATCAGCAATATGATATGAACTGAAAAAAAATCATTAACAGTGCATCAGTATTGCTATTTGACCCATTAGAGATTTTTCTGTAACACTTTACACTAAGGTTCAATTTGTAAGCATTAGCCTTAAGTAATATATATATAAACAAGCAATGAACTGTTTTACAACATTTATTAATCTTGGTTAATGCTAATTGATAGACACACAGTTAACATTTAATGTTTTGAAATAATAATGTTATAAAATAACATTAGTAAATGTTCTGTGAACAAACATGAATAATGAAACGTGTATCGTGTAGTAGTATATTTATATACAATATATATTTTTAATATATAATAAATGTAATAATCTAACCTAGATTGATAAATGCTGTAAAAAAAAAAGGTATTCATTGCAAGTTGATGATATCTAATGCATTAACTAATGTTAAAGAATTGAATCTTATAGTAAAGTGTTACTTTAATCACGCACTTGGTGCAGAGAGAGTATCACTTTAATTGTAATTAACATAGGCAAATTATTATTATTTATTTATTTCGATTTTTGGAAGTTTAAGAATTAAAGAAATACTCACTCTGCATGTTCCATAGACTGGTAATGTATTTATAAAGCGCTTACCAGCTCATGGAAAATGCATCTACATTAAGATGCAATGTTTAGGAGAGTGCAAAGTGTAGGAGACATTTTCATAACGTTGTCCCAACATTCCCATGGTTCCCTTTACGTCTGCTTAACTTGCCATGTGAATGCTGTGAGCTGGTTATGTTTAGAGCTCGGGGAGGGTGAGGGGCTGTCTTAAAATGAATTTAATAGTAAGTCAGACAAAAGATGTCACCTGCATCCTTCTGATCCCTCTGAGATTTCTCTACTAAAAAGAAAGAAAGAGAAAAAGAAAGGAAGAGGGAAGGGAGAAAGAAGGGGAAAGAGAAAAGGGAGAAGGGATAAGCTTTCATTTTGTTTCAGATGTGAGATCTGATCGGGAAGTAGAAAGAGAAGGACAGAAGAAGACAGAAAGAGGCGTTCAAGGACAGGGCTGTCTAAACAGTGAAAGACCCGTGATCCACTCTATCATTCCATGAGAGACTGTGTGAAAGAAACTCTAACGGAGTGGTTGTTTTAGGTTGAAAAACAAACCTTTTTTAAACAGGGGTGTAAAAATACAGCGTCAAAAGCAAAACATACTTGAGTGAAAATAAAAAGGCTTCCACAATTATCAGAGTTTAGTAAAAAAAATATTAAAATTGCTTTAAATTTAGCACAGTGACCACTAGCTAACTAAATGCATTAATAAACAATTATTAACTGCTTGAAAGGCCATTTTGTGGTGACTGCTGATCTCTTCAAAAACAAGAATAACCACATAAAAAATTAATTCTGTTGGCTGTTTTTAAATTAAATTAAACATTTAAAATTGTATCCAACAAGGAAGCATTTATCAAAAGTGAAAATAAAGAATTTTAACTTTTGAACTTTCTATACAAGGAAATGCAGAAAAACTGGACCAAGATTCCTAAAAAAAAATAATAAGCTGCACAAAAATTTAAGCCACACAGACCTGTGACCAGACTTTCTACTTTTTACTATTTTGTTTAGATATTCAGAGTATAAAGCATTTTTTCCCTCAGTATACGTACAGTACTTCAGTAAAGCAGAAATTCCTGTGTAGTAATAAAGTACAATTACTCAAGTACTTTACACCCCTGCTTTTACAATTTTAGACCAGAAACATGTCTGAAATCAAGTTTGACCCAAGACAGAAACAATAAACCAAATCACAGACAGAAAAACAGTGAAGACGCACAGTGATAAGCTGTTGGAGTGGATTACAGACAAAAAAAAAAAACGATTGAAACACAATGTGTCTGAAAACCGCGTCAGAATCCCTGTTTTGTTCCTGGGTTGGGAGATAATGTCAATTATTTTTGTTCACTCTGTACCTGACCAATACTGTAAACCTGGGACACATCGATAAACGGAAAGAGGTGGGGAGGGGTGACTTACACAAAAGCAAAGTAAAAATGCATTCAAGTCACAAACAGAAAGAATAAGCAGAAAACAGAAAGAACAGCTGCCACACTGACTCAGTTGGACGGGATGGTCTGATCAAAGCGACAGGAAGACCTGTGGCAGAATCACTCAACCTAAGATGCAAGTGACAAACTCAAAGAAAAAGGCAAGCAGGCTGCAAGCAAGAGAAGAGGATGGTGCCGGTCAGGGCATGAGGGAATAACTGTTTGTGAAAGTGCTCGAGAACGAAAAAACGAGAAAAGAAAAGAAAAAGAGGGGTGGCGGAAGTGATGGAGTGGCTCCAGATGAGCAGGGTACTCACGAATGGTTAAATCCATCACTTGTGACGCCAAACAGAAGACAGGATGCTCATACATTTCTCTCTTTTTCCCTATAAAAGAGGATCAGGGCATGCAAGAGCAAGGGGTCAGAGGAGAAAGAGAGAGAAAGAAGCACAACGGCTGCATGTGCCATAAGGGGCTTTTGACCAAATTTAGTGGCATGGAAAGTTGCCTGGCAGGGTTGGCAAAAAGCCTAGTAACTGATCTACTGCATCTCAAAATTATTAGTGATCAATCAGTCCTGATATGATCTGTAGGTCAGTATGCATGAAGACTTAAAGCTCTATGAAACGCACAAAGATTTAAAACTCTATAAACTCCCTCAACTCAAGTCTTAAACATATTATTGGATCCCACTTAATACTAGGTGGCCTTAACTACTATGTACTTACATTTAAGTTAATCATTTGATACAATGCACTTATTGTGTACATACATGTTTTACATTGTACTTATATTTAAAAAAATACCTGCATGTAATTACATCTGTAATTAATTTATGCAATTACATTTATAATTACAATGTTGACCCATCCCTTACATCTTAACCAACCATTAAACCTACCCATACCACCAAACCTGTCCCTAACCTTACCAGTATCCCACCTCAATAGCAGCAAAAGCCATCTGCAAAACAATATGAACACAATAAATACATTGTACTTCTTTTTGGTGTAAGTACATAGTAGTTAAGACCACTTAATATAAAGTGGGACCTATTATTGTAACAATTTGTCACTATTGTTTATTTGGAAGGAAGGTCATTCATTTTTATTCAAATATAGACTACCAGTCAAAAGTTTGGAATAATTAAAATATTGTATGTTTTTGAAAGAAGTTGCTTATCCTCACCAAGGCTCCATTAATGATTTTGATCAAAAATACTGTAAAAACAGTAATATTGCGAAATAATTCATTTAAAATGCCTGTTTTCTATTATAATATATTATAAAATGCAATTTATTCCTGTGATGGCGAAGCTGAGCCCTTTTTCCAGTCTTCGGTGTCACATGATCCTTCAGAAATCAATTCTAATGTTCTGATTAGATCTGCCTAATTATTAATAATGGTTCTAGTAATGATCTGCTCAATTATTAATAATGGTTCTTATTATTTTCAGTGTTGAAAACAGCTTTTTCTGCTCAATATTTTTGTGAAAACCATGATATTTGTTTATGATTTTTCATGAAATGTTCAAATGAACAGCATTTTCTTGAAATAGAAATCTTTTGTAACATTTTAAATTTATTTACTGTTACTTTTAAACAGTTTTATGTGTCCTTACAAACGTATTTTTTTATTTTTTTATAAGATAATTGTTTCAAAAACATTTATTCCAAACCTTTGATGGATAGTGCATGAACTATTTTCAGAATGACAAACATTGCACTGGACTCATTGTAAATAGTTTTGGTGAAAAAAAAAAACTTTTGGTTTAGTCACTTCAGACTTGCAGTTTTTAGTTATTCTGTTGATTTCCACCATTAGCCTTGCTTTGAATCCAGCTGAACGTCTTAGTCTCTGGAAAGACTTGTGAGTGTGTTGCAAGCTATTGGTTAGTTTGGGTTAGTACAAAAGTCACATTCAGTTTAGTGGTCAGCAATCAATAGGGAACAACATCGACATCATTTGGCAAACAGATACTAAGGGCTTCTCCTTCAGTATCTGCAGTGCCAAGTCATATTTCTTCATGAACATGGACAGTCATTGAAAATTATTTAGAAAAGGAAATATATTAAAAAAAAACATTCCAGACAAAAATAAAAACACTTGTCCTGTAAACATGGCCATTATTTGACATCAAAGACCACCTGTGTGTAAGCCACAGTTTAGCTGTCCATGCCTATGAAAGAAACCGTCTCACTTGCAACACACAAATGTGTGTTGCTTGAGTGGGCAATCCAGCTTTGCACTGTATATTGGCTTCTCAAACTGGCTCAACAAGAGAGGGCTCCAAATAAGAAGAAAAGCCAATAAACAAGAGGAAAGCGCAGAGGGAGGGAGCAGAGAGAGATAAAGAGATGGAAGGAGAAAGAAAGAGGAAAAAAGACACAAAGAAAGCTAGTAAATAGGCAGCAATTCTGCAATAAACATATGAAGCAGGGGGGCTGGAAAGGTGATGAAGAGCTGGAAAGGAAAAGTGTATTTGTTGCTGTACAGTACTTCTAGCCCTAAAAGCTAAACCACAGGAAAGATGCAACCATCCACAGAGGGCAGCAAGAAACCACTGAGCAGAACAATATGGCACTGAGGCCAGGGTTTGAGAGGGGGAATTGAATGCATTTTTACTCTATAATCAGCTAGAAAGAGCTAAAACAAACCTGGACCAACAAGACCTTTTAAAAACATTATTATTATTAATATTATAAATAAATTATATACATATATACAATTACTATCTGGGTACATACTACAGGACAATTATCTCAAGTGTCTTAGAAGACTAGTAGAGATAAGACAACATAAAAAGCCATTACACACACCAACAGTTAATTATTGCTCCATTGTAAGCATTCCTTTTATGAAAAAAAAAAATCAACTGTGGCATTTCAGCATTGCCTCCATGGAATACTGGTTAGTTGAGCATCACTGTTGTTAAGCAGTGTTTCTACGAGAGGAATATGTCAAGTGCTATATTACTGATAACAGAGCAGAGAGGAGAAGAAACTCTGCAAAACTGGTTTATGTGCCTCCTACCTTCCACCTTGGCGTATTCTGAGAGACGCTGGTAGTTCACTAAAGCTGCCTGCTCCAGACATTTACGGACCACTGTCTTCACCTCGTCTTGAGGTGCGGGTGTCACAATGTCCTTCATTAAGACCTGCAAAACCAAATTAGAAATTAGATGCATATTTACTTTAGCTTGTAGGTCTTTTTTACTTTGTGTCATATGCTTTTTCAATACATACACACACACACACACACACACACACACACACACGTGCATACATACATAATATATATGTACAGTCAAACCAAAGATTATTCAGACACCAGATATAATTTTTGATATTTTTTACTAGTGGGTGCAGGACACTATAGTTCATTTATGTAAAGTGAGGATAGCAAAATAAAGTAAACTGTGATATATTACACCCAAAAATTCTTCATACAGTGGACTACCAGTAAAACGGATAAAAATTTGGGACCAAAAATTATTCAGACACTTTGACCTGACCATGTTTTGCTTAAGTGTTTTTTCTTTAATTGCTAATGCAACCTCTTTACACCACAGACTGAACAAAATTAAGCACTGATTGGTAATCGGTTTACCTAAATTGGTATTATCTGATGCTGTGTAGACTGACAGTGATGTACCTGAAGTGTGTGATCTGGTTTTCGAGCAGTACGCGCAGTCGTTCTTTGATCTCCTCGAACCGTTCCTTCTCTTCTACTGTGACAGTACCGATTCCATCAGGCCTGAGGCGAAACACGCACAAATGAATGCAACTGCTTGTCTCATTAGGGTAACAAGGGTCACAGATACAAACACAGGGTCCCAAAACAGGCAAGACGCATGACTTTTATACAAGCACTATAAATAATTTTCTATTCATCCTCTTTAAAAGGTATGTGTTAATGAGAGATTCAGACAAACTGCTCAACTTTTTAATTAACCACATATATTATTAAAGAGAAAGAGGAAAAAAGTGAGAATATGACACTACTTTTATCTTCTGAAAGAGCCCCAGCTCTTTATTTGAGTGTATTTACATATGCATACATGTTCATACCTGTAAATGCTCTGGGGTAAATTCACTTTTGCAAGTATTTGTGAGCAAAAACCTCATGTAAATTAAGTAATAGTTATTGCTACTTGCCTGGTGCAATTTATGTGACATTTCTGTCGACCACAGGAAAAAAAAAAGATTTAAAAGAGACATTTGCATACATTTTCTAGTGATATCTGCCCAGACTCTTTCAACAATATATGCAACTGCACTGTGCATTATGAGCGGGTGCAATTCCTAGTGTGTATGTCTAAATGTGAGTTTGTGTGTGTGTGTCATCCCCTCCTCAGGCAAGGCTTTTTGGAAGGGCCTAAACTCCCCCCTCCCTGTCCGTGGTCAAATAAAGAGTCCTCCGCAATACAAAGACACTACAAATTACCACAGCCCCCTGCTACTAGCACTGAGGTGTTCAACCTCTCACCACATACACACTCACAGGTTTCTTATTGTGACTCTATAACAGAAAGAGGGAGGCTGTGGGAAACAGTTCACCTGATATGTCTAGTGGCACTAAGATGTATAAGTTCTGACACAGTTTAACTCTGAGTTCTTGTCATATTTTATTACCATTTTCTAAACGATAGCGAATAAACTGTGATAATATGAGAAATGTTGAAGGTGTCTGAATAAATTTTGGTTTGACTGTATATCATAAAATTATGCAAAAAAAAACAAAAAAAACAAAAGTGTGTGGGAAAATATTACCCTCTCAAGCAGTGACAGCGTAGCTTTTAAGGCTCCTTCTGGGCGTCCAAATGGAAAACAATACCTTTAGAGAGAAAATTTTAAAACTGTTTAAAACTGTTTAAAACATTGAGACATTATACATTCCCATTTAAATTTGTTAGAAAAAAAATATCCTGTTTCATCACTATATCCAGTCATCACACAATTAGTTTCACGCAACATTTACATATACACTGCCCGATTCCATCAGGCCTGAGGCGAAACACGCACAAATGAATGCAACTGCTTGTCTCATTAGGGTAACAAGGGTCACAGATACAAACACAGGGTCCCAAAACAGGCAAGACGCATGACTTTTATACAAGCACTATAAATAATTTTCTATTCATCCTCTTTAAAAGGTATGTGTTAATGAGAGATTCAGACAAACTGCTCAACTTTTTAATTAACCACATATATTATTAAAGAGAAAGAGGAAAAAAGTGAGAATATGACACTACTTTTATCTTCTGAAAGAGCCCCAGCTCTTTATTTGAGTGTATTTACATATGCATACATGTTCATACCTGTAAATGCTCTGGGGTAAATTCACTTTTGCAAGTATTTGTGAGCAAAAACCTCATGTAAATTAAGTAATAGTTATTGCTACTTGCCTGGTGCAATTTATGTGACATTTCTGTCGACCACAGGAAAAAAAAAAGATTTAAAAGAGACATTTGCATACATTTTCTAGTGATATCTGCCCAGACTCTTTCAACAATATATGCAACTGCACTGTGCATTATGAGCGGGTGCAATTCCTAGTGTGTATGTCTAAATGTGAGTTTGTGTGTGTGTGTCATCCCCTCCTCAGGCAAGGCTTTTTGGAAGGGCCTAAACTCCCCCCTCCCTGTCCGTGGTCAAATAAAGAGTCCTCCGCAATACAAAGACACTACAAATTACCACAGCCCCCTGCTACTAGCACTGAGGTGTTCAACCTCTCACCACATACACACTCACAGGTTTCTTATTGTGACTCTATAACAGAAAGAGGGAGGCTGTGGGAAACAGTTCACCTGATATGTCTAGTGGCACTCCTAAGCTTATTAGCCAAATTACCATGATGCCCATTATCATTTCTTGTTTTATAAACACACAGAAATTTAAAATACTTATTTTAAGATGCTGATATCCATGCAACTGATGCTAAATTGTCAAACCTAATCGATTTTACCATCATACTAGACATCTACACCTCTCACTATCTCTCACATCTAGCTGACGTGTACAACAGTGGAAGCTTTTAAGGTATTTTTGTGAACAAGAAGGGGCGACCCGGTTGCCAACCTCCCTCTGAAAACCCCCACCAAGCGATGGACCCCGTCTGGTGTGACAGCCGTGGTGGTCCCCCCTGAAATCCCTGCCCCTCCTCCTTTGCTTTTCCCCGCTGTCCTTCAGCGTGCGCTGGGCTGACATGGGGAGCGGACTGACGAGGAGCGTGTCATGTCTCCTGCTCCTCAAACTGCTGTCACGACGACCCGCGCCTCCACTGTCACATACACTCTGCTCACAGCCCTCTTTCCGTCTACCATGTCACAAACGATAAGGAGCCTGGCCCTTTAGTCACATTCTGCATAAGAGTGTGCGTGTTTGTGTTTTAAACTGCGTGCAGGTGACATACGTCGGTTGTGAGTGTGTTTCAGTTCTAGCTGTGTCACAACAAAACTGATGGATAAAAGACGGACCAGCAGAAAAAAATCCTTTCTCTCTGCGTGTCAGAAAAACCGAAGAAAAACAAAACACACAACAAAAAATAAAACAAAAACAAAGCAAAACTAAAGAAAAACAAAACACACAACAAAAAATAAAACAAAAACAAAGCAAAACTAAAGAAAAACAAAACACACAACAAAGCAAAACTAAAAAAAAACAAAACACACAACAAAACATAAAACGAAAACAAAGCAAAACTAAAAAAAACTAAACACAACAAAAAACTAAACAAAAACAAAGAAAAACTAAAGAAAAACAAACACAACAAAGCAAAACTAAAGAAAAACAAAACACACAAAAAAATAAATCAAAAACAAAGCAAAACTAAAGAAACAAAACACAACTACTAAAGCCAAACAAAACACAAAAAAACTAAAAACAAAACTTAACAAAAACACACAACCCAAAAAACAAAACACAAAAAAACACATAAAACAAAAACCAAAACACACAAAAATTAAACAAAACTACAAAAACAAAAACAGATTCCAATGTCCAAAAAACATGTTTTTTGGACACTGGACCATGGTAATATTACCATTTATTTATTATTTTTTTGCACATGTACCATGACATTTATGCCATTTCACCTTTTAGTAACACTACACGGCATCATGAATATTTATAATAGTGTATTATGAGACTAATATGGCTATCCAGATATGGTAATGGCACAGTAGTTTGATGTCAAACAACATTAGAGATCCACAGTCACTATCTGTAACACTTGTAGATTATTTGGCTTTAAATATATATCAGTATACAAGTCCAATGCCAAGAGGTTCAGGTTGAGGGCCATGTCAGTTATAAAGAGCGTGGTTGGCTGGACGTGAGGTTTTGGCACAAGTAGACAAGCTGGAGTGAGGCCTTGGACAGTTTGGAAAGAGAGGTGGAGAGAGAGAGCGATGACCTGTCATCCTGTCAGCCATGACCTTAAGGCACCATCCATAGTGTCCCTCATCTCTCTCTCTTTACCCTGCATGTTTCTCACTGGTTCGACACATGTCTATCACGTTCTGTTTCCCTGCCTCACCCTCACTTTTCTCTCTCTTCCTCACACAGATACACATTCACACATAAAGAGACCAGACTGAAAATATTTTAAGTTGTTTTCTTAGAAAATAATTCCTAGGTGGTGATTCAATATTAAAACAATTCTGAAATTTTATAAAATAATAAATTGAAAAATTAATCATATACAATAACAGTACAAATATAAAAAAGAAAATTATATACATTTAATTAAAATATAATTAAAAAAAGGTCAGAATGTGTATAAAATTGCTACTTTGCACGTTCACATATAATAAATGACTACAATTACACACAATGGAACGAGTAATCTCTCACACAGAAGAAAGAAGAAATTCAACTTAATTGCAGTCTTCCCTAACGTACATCCCCCAGTTTCATAGGTTAAGGGCGGGACGCTAATCCACACCCAAAAGAGGGGGTTGCATTAACATTCTCACCTTCTGGGGCCTGTGAGCACCTGCGACTTAGACTCTCTTTTTCTCCAGACCTCTATGATTTTGTTCTCTTTTTTAGAGGGGGTCAAGGGCTCAGGGGGGGAGGGAAACAGAGAACTAAGCAGCTCGGTCTCTGACATGGGCCATTTTAGTAGCTCATTCAGTCTTTGGCTTCGTATCCCACACACACACACACACACACACACACACACACACATGCATTCACAAAGGTGCACATTCACAAAGGTTATCAGAAGATGGTGTGAGGGTAAGTGAGAAATAAAAGAAGAAGAGAAATTATATAAATCATGCAAGTAATAATAACCATGAGAATAAAATGATAGATTCAGACAAAAGTAAGACGAAAAGACATGAAAAACATTCAGAAATAAGAAATTTGAATGTTTCACAAGAATACAATAAAAGTATATTTATATACTTATATAATATATAGTCCATTATATTCTGTTTAGAAATTAGCCACATGCTAAAGGAATCAGGACTTATCATTTAAAATGTACAAAATGGTGACTATACAAAGCTTGTTTGTTTGATAATTCATTCATTCTTTCAAATTATTTTGTGTAGAATTTTTAAAATGTTTAATAAATATGTAATAATTACGTACAACATTTAAATGCATATTTTAATATAAACTTACATTATATAATTTTTTTATTACATATGTTGTATGTATTTTAAATAAATAATATGTATATCTCGAATAAATATACCTCAAAAAACACTGAAAACACTCAAAATAACTGCAAAACGGAAGCTTGTTTAAAGAGTAGTTACAGAGTTTGAGGACTCCTGCAAACCAGGTAATGAGGCAACTTGAGCTTCTTGTAAAAGCAGTGAAACTACTGTTGGATTCTGGGAGAGAAGCATTATCACCTGTGACCAACCACAAAGCTTTCAGGAGAAAGAATGGGGTTTCTATGAAACACAGGAGAATGAGTCCTTTGGCTGCCAAAAGAGAGTTTGTGCTTTTACTTTACCTCTGTTTCTGCCCATGTGTGGAAAGTGGATGTATGGAGAGATAAAAAGGCAGGACAGTGAAGACGGATGGAGTGATTTTAGTGGGAGGAGAAAAGACAGAACTTCAGGTGAGAGTAGGATGAAAGACAAAGAGAAAGCATGAGAGATAAATGATTGGATAATTAATGTGGTTACAAATGAGAATGAAATGAAGTGGGTGTTAAAGAGACAGAGTGAGAAAGAGATAAAGAGTGTGAGATCAGCGGTACCTGTTGCCGTGCACGTGGGAGGCACAGAAGGCGTAGCTGTAGTGCAGTAGCGTGGGGTCGATCATGGACCCTTTCTCTGCCCTCTCCAGCAGGTCATTCAGGTAACACAGGTGCCTGTGACACCCTCGCACTCCGTACCTGGCGCAGTACTCATCAAATACAAACACCTGACCTGGACTGAACCAACCCTGAGGAGCACAATCAGACACAAAAGTGCAGTTTCAGTAGTGCAAATGTGATTATACATGATAATATAAATAGGACAGCTATAGCCCTAACTGAATAAAACTGAATTGAAAGCTGGGTTACCAAGCAGGAGTATGAATCGTTGAGCCTGTGATCCAGTGTCAACCGCTGAACCATCTCAAACAGCGAAGAATGGTCAAAATTGCAGGGGTTCGCGGAGATGAACTCATCCATTCCATGTTTCTGTGCTCGGTCTGCATCTGTGTGCATGCGTGCACGTTAACGTATGGCGATAGAGACACATAAAACATACACATCTCAAAGTCACAGGACGACAGGAGCACACACTCTTTAGAGAGAGGTCTGTAATCTGAGTCAGATGTCAGCCTAAAAAGTGTCACTGTCAACTTGCATTACTGTGTAAATTCAATCCAAGGTGCATTACAAGCAATGCTCAAAGTGCAAGATAAAAACAAAAGCAGATACTCAAGTTAAATAAATATATAAGCAATATATTTATTTAATAATAATAATAATAATAACATATGCATGTAAATAATATGTAAAAAATTTTTATACAGTTTAAAACAAAAAATGTTATATTTTGAGGCACATTTCAACAAAGAAATTTTTATATTAATTGTTTTTACTCAGCAACAACAACAGCATACGGTTTACTCATAATATATAT